ACAACAATATAAAATTTTAATTACCTTATATATACCTAATATAATTAATTTTAATCTTTTTACTCAAAAGTTATACATGTTCTCGATTTATGGAAGAATTTTAATTTATCAAAATAAGATGTAATTTTTTCTTACCAAGTTTTTTAAAATGAAAATATTATTGCGCCTTCTATGGATATTTGTACCAGAGCCGCACTTAAGGAGCCAAAGAGCCACATGCGGCTCTGGAGCCGCACTTTGCTGACCACTGGCTTATACCATCCATTATACATTAAATGCACATGCATAAACATATTATGTGCATGCGTCTACGCATGCACAGAAAGTTTGTAGCTTTGAGGTCCGGATTATACATCATTCCGGATAATGGACATCTGGATTAAAGATTTTTGACTGTATTGCTATTATCTTGATGGTGAGGATCATTATGTATTTTTGGATCTTCACTACTTATATTTTCCTCATTCTCATTACATAGATCATAATAATCTAATGTCACTAAATTCTTATGATTTTTAGATTTTCTTAAATGTAATTTATTCCCTCTAATTACCCTATTATCTTTTGTTCTAATCCAATAGGATCTATCAGTTAAATGCTTTTTTATAACTATAGTGGGCTCCCATTTATTTTCTCATCTCAACATTACCTTTTCTCCAGGAATAAATTCAGGTCTTTCCCTTGCATGCTTATCATAATAGATTTTAACCTGTTTCTGCTTACTCCTCACTTTTTCTCTATATTGATCTTTTACAGTTGGTTTCAATTCTGTTTGTGTAATTGGTAACTATGTTCTTAAATTCCTACTTATTAGCATTTGACTTGGGGATGAATTTATACCTCAAATTGGAAAATTTCTATATTCAAGTAAAGCTTCATTTAATTTCTACAATCCTGCTTTTCTAAATACACTCTTAGCTATACCTACCAACTTTTCTGCAAATCCATTAGATTTAGAATATCGAGCGAAACTCTTCACTTTCCAACTGTTAAATTATCACAAATTAAAGTTTTGGGTATTCCATGTGTTGCAAATATTGATTTCAATCTACTAGTAACTTTCACTGCACTTTTATTTTTTAGAGGAATTATGTCAACCCATTTAGTAAAGTAACAGCATATTACTAGGTAACTTTTCCCCGCATACTCACAGATATCAGTACCAACCTTTTCATAAGGTAAACTAGGAATTTCATGACAAACAAGAGGTTCTTTTACTGTTTGAGGCCTGAACCTATCACAAATTAGGCATTTAGAAATCGTATTCTCAATGTCACTGTTGATTCCTGGCCAAAATAGTACTTGTCGAGCCCTAGCTTTTGATTTTTCAACCCCACAGTGAGCTTAATAATGTTAACATACACTTCCTTAATGCAACAGGTACTACAATTCGATTATTAAAAAAAAACTAAATTTTGTTCAACATTCAACTCATTTTTAAATTTAAAATATGATCTTGCTTCTTTAGGAAACTTTATCAACACTCAAAGGCCATCCCTTTTGCCAATATTCGTTCACTAAATAACCCTTCATCTTCTAATGTGGCTTTCTGAAATTCCCTTTTCTTACTCTCAGAAATTTGAAGTTGTTTTCTTAGTTGTAAATGAACAATCTTTGTCATATCCATGTTTTCATTTGCATGTGTTTCAATAAAGGAATGTGACAGTAAATCTGCAATATACATATATTTCCCAGGCAAATATTTAAGTTTTAAGTTATATTTTAAGAGCTTAATTTTTATCCTTTGCAATCTATTTGACAACACATTAGCAATATTTTTGTTCATAATTGAAACTAACGGTTTATGATCAGTAAGCGCTTCTACCGCTCTACCATAAATTTAATAGAGAAATTTATTAACAGCAAATAAAATACTAAGAAATTTTTTTCTCAGTCTGAGCATAGTTTTTTTCTGCATTATTCAAACTCCTAGACAGAAAAGCAATTGGCTGCCCATTCTGCAATAAGCAGCAACCTAACCCATCTTTAGAACTATCTGCCTGTATAGTGATAGGTTTACTGCTATCAAATATTCGTAATACAGGTGTGTTGGAAACTAATTTTTTAATTCCCTGAATGCTTTAGAATGTAGCTGTAACCTACTGACATTCTACTTTGTTTTTCAAAAGTTCTCTTAATATGGCTGTTTTCTCAAAAATGCGCTACAAATTTCCTCAGATAATTACACATTCCCAAAACACGCTGTAATTCATGCTTTTATTTAGTGTAATATGCCCACTGATACATTAAATAAATGACCTAAATATTTAACCTCATTAACCCTATATTGAAGTTTTTGCTTTGAATTTAATATTGAGTTCTTTAGCTCTGTTGATGACGTCTGTTAAAATTTTATCATATTGTTGTACGGTGCTAGCAGCAATGAGGATGTCTTCAAAATAGATCAATACTCCTGGTATATTATCAAAATTTTCAAGATAGCATTTCTGAAAATTTCCAGGTCCACAGGAAATACCCATTGGAGGCCTTAAGAATTTATAGCATCCAAATTGTGTGCTAAAGGTACAAAGATCATTACTATCCCCATCTAACGCTATTTGAAAAAAACCCATCCTATAAGTCCAAAACAGAGTAAACTGATTTATTACAGAGCTTTGATAAATTCTCCTCAATTGTTGGAATCAACACGTTCTCTTTTTATAGCTTTGTTAAGATCTTGGGGATCAAAGCATATTTTTAAGGATCTGCCAGCTTTTTCCATTATTACTAGAATGCTAACCCAGTTTTTAGGTTGATCAACGTTTGCAATAATGCCCTGTCGATCTAATTCGTTTAATTTTAATTAAAGTTTAGGTTTTAAACTAAGTGGTAATCTATGTGGTGGTCTCACTACAGGAGCTATCTGATCATCTATTATTTTACACAATCCATTAAATTTTCCCACACTTTCAAACATTTCTGAATTATTAATAATAAATTGATTAGATGGAGGTAAAACAATTGTATACTGATCCAACTTTCCTTTGTTTGATATTCCAACCTTATTTATAAACTGAATCAAATTAAGTTTAACTCATGCATCAAGTCCTAATAATGGACGTATATGCTTGCTAGAAACAATTAAAAACTCTAGAAGATGATCCTCACCATCTGAGGAACATTGTAACATTAACAACCCATCAGGTTTAATCTTGGACCCCAAATGCTTCTAATACAACATTACACTTGTTTACAATAAGATTAGAGTTCTTAGCACTCAGTGTTTCATAAATTTTCACAGGCAAAACATTCACTTCAGACCCTGTGTCTGACCTAAAAGTCGCACCTGTTCCTTCAACAATTATAGTTTTAGTCCACTCTTTTGTAGACGATGTTGAGCATACACTTTTAGTTTTTTGGACATTTATGGAATTCACGAAGAATTCGTCATCAGATTCACTATATACCTCTGCATTGTCATTCTGAAAAACATTTTGGACATGTTTCAGTCTGCACATAGTCAAAAAGTGATTAAGTTTGCCATAATTAAAGCATTTTTTTCCATATGCCGGACATTGTCTATTAATGTTATGTCTGTTGTATTTTTTACACAAAAACATCTCAGTATTTGAAGCAGTACCACGCCATCCTCTGTGCTTCCTCACTGCTTGAGCTGCATTGGCTCCTCCTGCCTGATTTTGCTTCATTTTCCCTCTAGTTATGCCGTCAACAGCTGCCCAATTGGTATAGTGGTTAGGGGAGCCTGACTGTGATAGCAAAGGTCCCAGGTTCGAATCCGGGAGAACGCATGGATGTAAAATTGTCTGTCCCTTCATAGTAACTAACAGTGGCTGCCTATTAGGTGCCTCCACAATAAAATGGCTACCACTTCTGGCCTTAGTAGTGGACAATGCCATTATAGGCAAGTGCCCATCATTTAAAAAAAAAAGTTACGCTGTCAACATTGTGTTTTCTTAACGTTTGAATTTTAAGCATGAATTTTGCTCAATTCAGTAGCTTTCCCTAAATCAATTGCTTTCTCCAAACTCAGATTATTTTCTCGTAGCATCCTCTCCTGTAAACTGGTATCTGATACTCCAAGGACACACGTAAGTCTTTCTGCTCACCAAATTCACAAGATTTTACCAGTTTTTTCAGGTCAATTACAAAACAATAAAAAAGTTCCCTTTCTTCTTGTTTTCTCTTATTGAATAAAAATCTCTCCACCATGACATTAGTTTTAGGCATCATGAAAGCGTCAAACCTTTCAAGCACTTTTCATAGTTGCCCTGATCTCCTGTTGAAAGATTGAGCATGTTAAACACTTCAACTGCTTCCTCACCAGCGGGATTTAAAAGTAAAGCAACTTTCACATCTGAATCTTTTGAAGCATTTCCTGAAACTTTTATATAAATCTGGAACAGCTGCTTGAATCTGCGCCAATTTTCGGCCACATTGCCGTCGAAACTTAGGCCTTGCGGTGGGTAACAAAATTCCATCTTATCTTGCGTCTGCTGAGAGGAAAAACAACCAAAGGGATTGCCTGGCAATTAGTTGTAATATTACTCCACATGACTGTGCTATGTTATATTCATATTAATATAACTCGATCAATAAATAAGTGACATTAATACAGGATCACATAGCACATTTTTTATTACAAACCAACATCAACTGGCAATTACTTCACTTCAGTTCAACAAGTAACTATTGTGTTGCCACGTGTATGTAACAACATGGATTCATGTTGTGGGTCATCTGGATTGACATCTCAGATCACATTTCTCATTGTATTGGGCAGATTTCTCATTGTATTGGCAATAATCGAACAAATATGCTGTATTATTTATTCTGAATTTATACTTAAAAATAGTATATAAAAGGAACTGAACTTCTGTTTTTATCTGACCTAAAAAGTGAAGCAAAATGGTGCCATGTCTACATGTCATTTTTACTGAGTGATCCAAAATTTGGAAATATCCAAAATCTGTAATTGCTGAAGTCATGGTGATTCTGGGACTTTGTGCTAGAATTCTAATCAAATTGATTTTCTTTGTTAGGAAAAGACTGTACATTTGAAAAAATGGAGCAGGTTCGGGAACAGCAAGAGAGATTAGCTCGACTGCATTTTGAGTTAAATGCGCAGCAAGAAATATATGGGTAAAGTATACTGTTTTTATAGTTCTTCATTTACATCCATTTTAATGTAGCAAAAATGTGAAACTATAGCTTTTTTAGTTTGCAATTCTGTGTATTTAATCAAAACTACAGGTTTTGTAGTTTGTAATTCTATGTGCTTAATTAAATGAACACCTTTAATTTTATCTATAATGAATTTTTAGCATGATTATTTTTTGTTGTTGTTTATATCGAGAAAATATGTATAATTTTAGGTTTTAACTCATTGTAATTGAATTCCCCATTCCTTTTTTTTGAGGGAAGTGGAGGAGGAACTTTGAGGTGAGATTTGAGGTTTCATTGATTACTTAATATATTATGGTAGTCTTGTTCAGTGGGTGGGATAGTTGCATATTTATCGCAACTGCTACACACTTGCACAAGTGAGGTCTCATTTTATTGGGAATTATGGTGTAGAGTTCAGGAGGGTTAACTTCTATCTGGATACTGGAGTAGCAGGAAACTACGCAGAAGAAGGGTTTAAACCATTTATTAACTCTTTAAAATTTGCAATGCGTGAACTCGACGCTAACAAACTTTGCCTCTACTTGGGCAGTAACTGAAAGTCAGATAATTGAAGATTAAAAGTTGAAATTTTTAACAAGTGATAAACTAACCTACAGGGCTCAGTGAGATCTCAAACTTCAACCCCCTTCTATGCTAGTGGCAGCAAGGCAATGCAATTAAGCCACTTGAACCAGCAATAAGCAAACTTACCTATGACAGAGACGGCAGCTAGAGGCTAACTCTCTCTTTCTCCTACTGAAATTCGGCTTTTAACTACGTCCTTCAACATAGAAAATTTGCATGCATTCATGCGCGCTACAACATTTAACTATTCTGGCCATTATTCCATTAGGGGAATGAAGGCTTATAGAAAAGTCTGAACTTAAAATTTAAAATATAGTTAAAATAAATATAAATCCCTACAATGGAACTAATCTGTTGTATTATTTCGTTTTGAATTTGTACTTGAAAATAGTACATAAGAAGAATATCAAAAAGTGCTTTTACTCTGAACTTCTGTTACAGAAACCATACTACATGAAAGCAAGCAAACTAGTTTTGTCAGCAACAGTAACTATATAAAGTGAAATCTTTCTGAGATGACCACCTGTAGTTTGACAGTTTTGGTCTGTGGAGAAACTCACTTTAAAGAGGTGATATTCTACACCAGCATGTGCTTACGTGTTGAGAAATACTAGTAACTTTGTCACCAAGAGTTTTAACTGTATTTTCTAATCTGCAAGTGTAGGGTTTTTTTCTCCAAATGTCCAGCTATTAGCTGTTGTATAATTAGTTCTTTCATCGTTTGGTAAAAGAAAATTTTATTACATGAATACATATGCATATATTTTTTATAGTACGTATACAGCCCTCCATATAACATATTTCTATATTGTATATTATGCTTTTCAGTGAAAGAAAATTTTATTTAGTTTCATTTTTTATTTATAAATTTAAGTGAGTTATTAATATTGCATACCGTTTCTGTCTAGTATTAAATACATAATCTCTGTATAAAAACATAATATTTGATGTAAATAGTTTATGAAAATGATTTATGCTCTATATTGAATATATTATTTATTAGTTCGTTGAAAGTCTTCAAGGTTTGTTAGAAAGGCTGTTAAGTACTTTTTTCTTAACTTTTGAAAGCATTTCAGTTCTGTTGTTCCTACTTCATAAGGTGAAATTTTCTCCATTGCCATCGTTAGTGAAGTCATTTTCAAATAAAACTGCTTCAGAATTTGTACTGTATTTATTCAGTTCCTCATTTTTGTCAGTAAGTTTTTATCATTCTCGACAAAAAACAGTTTCCTCCCCCCATAGCACTGCTGCCTTCATCTGACGACATTTAAGAGAATTTCATTTCATCACAATACACTAGATAGTCACTATTTTATACCATAATTTCAACTTTGCAAATAAATCAAGGTACTAACTGATAGAGGAATTAAGGATGAGTTTTATTAAATGAATAAATGTAGTGATTGGAGCTTCTATGCTTCAAAACTGAGGTTAGATTGATATGATTAGATAAATATGTGGCTGTTTTACATTTTACAGCACACATTACAGAAAGTTGATGTTCTGCTGTTGACAGTTTCTGAATTGTACTGTCATCTAATGCAAAGAAGTCTAGATATATGAAAGATCACTATCATCATCTGTTTTCCATGTTGACAATTAATAAATGCAAAACTTTTGGATTTGTAAAGCATAGTAAAATATTATCATGTCACCCTTAATCCCATACTATCTCACCACCTCAGATATGTTGTTAATCAAAATTTAAGTTACAAAATTTAATTCATGTTAATGTATTGTGTGGATTCTTCATCGATTTACGAGGGTTGGAACTTTAATAGTGGCAACACAGCTGAAAAAACGCTACGCAGCATATCATAAGAATATCGCGTATACCACATGTAAACTACATACCTACCTTACCTCTCAGCAAAAAGACTCGTCCTGCCTACGTCACGTGCATGCGGAGGGACGCTAAGAACGGATCCTTGTATTAGCTCGCGGTCTAAAGTAAGTGTTGTCAGGATGTTTTCAAAACAAGAACAACGATGTTGGATAAAAATTTAATGTGCCAGAGGTCGTACAGCATGACAGTGTCATCAAGGGCTTCAAGAGGCTTGCGGGGAATCTGCATTGCCTTACAGAACGATAGCAAGATGGGTGAAAGCATTCAATGAAGGATGCCAAAATGTGGTAGACATGCTGCAGCCAGGTCGTCTGAGTGTCAGCAATGCAGACGTGCAAGCTGTTGCCGCACTAATGGACAGTGATCGCTGCCAAACGATTCGTCAACTGGCCGGACAAACAGGATTAGCGCATACGACTGTGCTGCACATTCTGAAGGAACGCCTGTCCACGAGAAAAATTGCTTCACTATGGGTTCCACATCAATTGACGGAAATGCAGAAATGGCTATGATACGATGCTGCCCGAACCCACCTGGAGCGCTATGAGTGCGAAGGAGATGCTTTTTTTATGTCGTATCATTACGCTGGATGAGACTTGGGCCCGATCGTACCAGCTAGAACTGAACTGAACTGAAATCAAATGAATGGCGTCATCACAGGTCACCACGACGTTTGAAATTTCGTCAGAACCCCAGCAATGTGAAAGTTATGGTGATTCTCGTGTACGACTGTGATGGTGTCATCCTAAAGCACCGTTCCCCTACAGCAGACTGTCACTGCGCAGTATTACTGCTCATTTTTGGAGCACAATCTCCGACCAGCTTTGAGAAAAGAACGGCGACACTTTCTGCAGAACACTCCTCTCATTTTGCATGACAATGCTCGCCGCATGCAGCGCAAGCTGCGACTGATTTTTTCAAACGATGGGGCTGGGAAGTGCTTTACCATCCACCATACTCCCCAGATCTAAGCCCTTGTGACTATAACTTAATTCCTAAGATGAAGGAACCACTTCGTGGCACTCGCTTCCAAACTGTTCCTGAGATTCTTGCGGCAGTAGACCGGTCCATTCAAACTATAAACAAAACAGGCACTGCTACAGGTATTCTGCGACTTCCACATCATTGGAAACAGGTTGTACACAATGCTGGCGACTATATTGAAGGACTGCAAAACATGATAACATGAATCACTTTTGTATTCCTTGTAAATAAATAGTTGCCACTATTAAAGTTCCAACCCTCGTATTTTATATATTATGGCAATGTTATTCAGTGTATGGGATAATGGCATATTTATTGTAACTGTCCACACACTTGAATAAATGAGTTCTTATTGTATTGGCAATAATCGAACAAATATGTTGTATTATTTATTTTGAATTTGTACTTAAAAATAGTATATAAGAGGAACTGAACTTCTGTTTTTATCTGACCTAAAAAGTGAAGCAAAATGGTGCCATGTCTACATATCATTCTTACTAAGTGATATAAAGTTTGGAAATATCCAAAATCTGTAATTGCTGAAGTCACGGTGATTCTGGGACTTTGTACTTACTTTTCCCCCCTATTAAAATGTGAAATCTCATATTTTTCTGCTGTTCTTAAAAATGATGTGAAATAACAGGATCTCAATTTCCTGTGTCACATTGAAATTATTTCTGATTATGCTAATAAATTTACTTATGCCTTACATAAACTTGATAAGTAACAAGCATGCATAATTAGTCTGATTTGATCATGTGTGTATCTAACTAAAAAAGTATTATGTTTTCTGTAAATTCTATGTCTCATATCAGAGAATATTGTTCATTGTACAATATGTTAAAATTTAAATAGTTGTAGAAACATACCAATGCGAGTTAAATAATTGTAAAGCATTGTACAGTTGGCTGATGACAGAACTTTTTATTCTGGGTTTCAAAACTGAAAATTCTGTCTGTGTCAGAAAGGCTGTCTCATTTGAGAAATTTGTAGTGCTATTAGTCACTGAAGACTCCTGACTCATAGTAATGTAATTTCTGAGAAATAGGACTTACTTATTAATTGTTATATATACATTTCTATCATTAAAACTGATATTTGCATTACTGCAAATGCCATGAGATTTTCTAGTATGTATAAATTTTAGTAAATTCTGCTACGTCGACTATTGAAGATGCTAATGGCTTGAAAGGAAAGTCTATAAATTTGCTTGTGTGAAAACACCTTAAACATGCCATAATAATAGCAGTTCAGATATTAAAGAAGTTAAATTTCAGTTGAAAAAATGTATGAAATGCATTAATTACTTGCATTCTCACTTGTTTATTTATCGTAGTGACAAATTGCGAAGACTGCGATGTGCGAATATCAACAGATTCAAGACAAACATACAAGTAGTACAATGAAAATTTATAGATTGTTAAATGAAAAGGCCAGTATAATCACAGTGAAGTATACTACTGGCTTATTTAAAACATGACTGTTTTATATTCTGGTAAAGCATGGAAGGTGTAGAAGAAGATTGAATGAAACTGAAAAATGCAATCATATGTGGTTGAAT